CAATAAACGGTGGATTTTTTTTTCGGACGAGGTAGATAAATAAAATAAAATAAAGGGTACCTGTTTAGGTTGTCCGTCTTTGCCACCAACCGAAGTAACGATTATTTGACCGGTTTCTGTTCCGTTTCCACTAACAACAGATGCTTCCATATCCTGTAATAGAAATTTCAGATTAAAAATTTTACCGAGTTTTTTTAAAATAGTCGATTAAAATATATATATGTATATCAATAAATGTGAATTGAAACCTTGAAATTCTCGTCGTGGTTATCGGTTTTATTGTCTTTAAGCTTCATTTGGTGCATTTCTCTTGGAAGTTGCTCGTTATAGCTAGATTTCTCGGGTTTGTTGTGTGCGTTATTATATTTGTTTGCAACGTTTTTCGATGAGTTAGATTGTGTGTGATTTAGTCGTGTCTCGATTTCGTAAGGAAGCCTTTGATCTAGTTCTTGCTCCACTTTCACCCGTTTGATGGTAGAGTCTCCGCCCTAACAAAAGATCGATCGAGCTTTAGAAGATGGATGATTAGATATTCGTTATTTTTATCGCATTCGAATTTCTTGGAGAATTTAAAAAATTAAATGAATTAGACAATCGTTGTTCACATAGTAATGTGTGAATTAACAGATGGAGAAAACATGACACACATACAGCTAATGTCCTAAAATTACTCACATGTTTAAAACAGGATGAGAGAGAGAGAGAGAGAGAGAGAGAGAGAGAGAGAGAGAGAGAGAGAGAGAAGAAGTTTTCGTCCTGTTCATCAATATTTTCAGTTTTTCAGACAAAGTCCACACGTTACCATATGTCAAAACAACAATAGTACACCATAAAAATTCAATCTTTACAGCACAATCTCCGCATGATTAAAATAAAATCGACAATTATACGCGATTCCAAGGAAAACCCAGCTGAGAACAATCAATAATCATGCATTTCTCATTCATACAAACAAAAATCATTCATCAATTTCATGATTATACGAAGAGACAGACAAAATAAAACAAACAAAAAAAAAAAGAATGAATTTTTAAAGAATATTTACAGGATCTGAAACGGAGGAGCGACCAGAAGCAATGCTCTTCAACCGACGCATCATATTCATCTTCGCCAAACAACCCACAATCGAAATCAAAACTCAAAATCAAAATCAAAATCAAAATCAGAATCCGCTTCTGCTTTTTTTTTTTCTTCTCTCTTTCTCTCTCTTCTCTGCGTTTGAAACAGAAACAACGAAGAGAGAGAGAGAGAGAGAGCGTGTGAATACAGAAAAACAAAATGAAATAAATATAAATAATAAACAGTAAATATAGGATAGGCAGACAGTTTTCTTCTCTTTCAGACAGCAATTCTTTTTTTCTATTTTATTTTTGTTTTAAATTAGTATATTATTTTTCAGCCAGTCAAAGCTGCAAAGGTAATCATTGTTCATTCCGACCATATTTTTTTCTTTATCTGTTACTGCGGTCAGACTTTAATTGTCCACCGTCGATTACTCATCATCTTCATCGGACGGTGGAGAGTGTTCCGATGTGGAACGACCAGTGCGGGATTGCGTTCCGTTTGGTTTTATTGATTGATTCATTAAATTCGTGTTTGACTAACGGTTTTTTCGAATTTAGGAAATTACGGCAAGCCCCGACAATTGCTAAATTACGAAAAGACCCCTCTTATTTGAGTAGTTGCAGTCACCCTCATTTTACATTGAATTTATGTAATTTGGTTATTTATCAAACCAAATCGTATATTCAGTTCGGTAAATAGTATGAAATTTTGGCGTGCCGAAATTTCGATTCGGTTTTACCGAATTAACATTCCTAAGGGGTCTTTTCGTAAGATAATACATAGTTGAGGGGTGACTGTAATTACCCAAAATTTAGAGAGATTTTCGTAATTTGACCATAACTCTGGGGTGGCCGTAATTTGCCCTTGAATTAATAGTAAAGTTTTAGAATTCAATTTTTTTTAAATAGTAATTTTTATTACAAATTTGAAGTTTCGATTAATGACTTTTACTCTTAGTTGGGAATGTTTTACCTCTTATACTTTTCGATTGCATCGATTTATCCCTCATAACTTGTAAAAGTTTCTATATGTAAT